ACATTCTTAAGGAGCAAGTAAAGAGGAACTCGAAGTGAATTAACATTTTACATATGTAATCTGAAAATTACAATGTCATATTTGTTCATTCTAATAGACTAAAGCACTGGGAGATGGGAGGCTGGTGCCCCGCATCCTTGGGAATGTTCTGCCTCTCAGCTCTGTGTGGACGGTCTCCCCAGCCCCCCAGGCAACGAGGCATTCAGCTTTAGGGTCTTTGTAGGGTGATGGGAATGTTCTACATCTAGACTGTGCTGATGGCTGTGCGGCTCTGGGAATATACTAAGGTGCAGGGAGTTGTGCGCAGGGAGAAAGAAGCCGCTTACCGCCCAAAAGAAAGGGGTCTTCAAGGGGAAATCCTTTCACGTTTGCCTCCTAGGCTCCCTGCACATGGGAATGCCTACCCTCTCCCCCACTGAAATCCCTCTTTCTTCAGTCTGAGAGAAAGAGTCAGAGTTGAAGGAAACATTCAAGTGCCTACAACATGCCTGGTGCTGGGGCTACATCGTCTTCTGTGTCCTTTTAGGACAAACCTGATCCTGTCACTCACTTCCTTTTTGACACCTGTCCACGGCTTCTCCTTGCCCAAAGGCTCAAGGCCAGGTTGCCCGTGGCTTCCACGCGTCTCCAGTTGTTTTCCTCCTTGCTTTGTTCTCCAGCCAGAATGAATGAAGTTGCCCAAACAGCGCCTTTGCCTGGGCCTGGAATAGACTCCCCCTCCACGAAGGCCCGGCAGGATGAAGATGGGGTTGAATGACCTGTTTTCCTCTCTAAAATTAAAATTTTAAGTGGAGCACACATAAGTATATAACGTGGGGAAGGGAACACAATACTTGTTCCTCTGAGCCCCCAGTCTTATCCCTGTGCCTTCTCCATCCACAGGGAATTGCTGTCCCGATTTGTTAGTCATGCCCTTGATTTCTTTACAGCTTGACCACAGAGTGGACTGGAATTGTATGTGAATGGAATCCTACTCTTGTCTTTTTCTGTGTTGTTTGCTGCCCAGTCTTGTTTCAGAGGCCCACAGGCCGTAGGTCCATCCTCACTGCCACGGCTCCCATTGTGTGGACGTGCCACGTTTTCTGTGCTGTTAACGCAGGTTGCTGTGCGTGGCTCTGGGTACACACACACAACGTTTCCGTAGGCGTGGACTCGCTGGATCACAGGATATGCACACTTTGACCTTACTGGTGTCGCCACATTTTCTCAAGCAGTTGGACTGGTTTATGCTTCCAATGACTGTGCACGTCCCCTTTCCGGGAAGATTCCCCTTCTTGGCTCCTCCTAGTAGAAGCATGTCTTAATGCCACCTCCCTGGGTGGCTTGTGGAGCCCCGAGAGTTTTACGGTGGTCACAGTCCAATGGCGAACAAAGGACGAGGCTGTGGTCTCACCCTTGCTAGAGAAACAGACACGCACGCACACACGAGAGCATCCATGCTGTGCACACTTTACGGCTATCCTACTCCTGAACAGACATTTTTTTTAAGATTTTATTTATTTATTTGACAGAGAGAGAGAGAGCACAAGCAGGGGGAGCGGCAGGCAGAGGGAGAGGGAGAAGCAGGCTCCCCATGGATCAGGGAGCCCCATGAGGGGCTCGATCCCAGGACCCTGGGATCATGACCTGAGCCGAAGGCAGATGCTTAACCAACTGAGCCACCCAGACGCCCCATGAATAGACATTTTTATTTTTTTTTCTTTTTCTTTTTTACCCTTTCTCCAACTGAGGCATTTTATTGTTGCCTCTTATACACGTACACAAACACACACAGTGTGTAAACAATTTAAATAACATGTGGAGAACAACCAAATTCAAGACTGTGGTTGCCTCTGGGAATGGGGGAACATAAAGGGATTCTCTATTAATTCACAATATTTTGTTACTTTCAAAAATGTCTTTATTTTAATTCCAGTATGGTTAACATACCGTGTTATATTAGTTTCAGATGTCCAATACAGTGACTCAACAATTCCGCACATTACTCAGTGCTCATCATGATAAGTATACTCTTAAACCCCTTCACCTACTCCACACATGCCCAGCCCAACACCCCGAATAGACATTTTTCTAAAGAAGACATACAGATAGCCATTGGACACGTGAAAAGATGCTCAACATCACTAATCAGCAGGGAAAAGCAAATCAAAACCACAATGAGATGCTGCCTCACACCAGCCAGAGTGACTAGTAACAAAAGACAAGAAATAACAAGTATTGGTGAGGATGTGGGAGAAAAGGAACCCTCATGACTGTTGGTGGGAATGTAGACTGGTGTAGCCACCATGGAAAACAGTATGGAGTTTCCTCAAAAAAATTAAGAATAGAAATACCATATGATCCAGCTATTCCATTTCTGGATATTTATCCAAAGGAAACAAAAACACTCGTTTAAAAAGATATATGCACTTCTACATTTATTGCAGAAATATGTACAATAACCAAGATATAGAAGTGAATGTCCACTGATAGATGAATGGATAAAAAATGTGACATACATAATCGGATATTACTCAGTCATAAAAATGAATGAAATCTTGCCATTTGCAAGAACATGGATGGACCAAAAGGGTATTAGGCTTGGTGAAATAAATCAGACAGGGAGGGATAAATACCATATGATTGCACTTATACATGTAATCTAAAAAACAAAAACAGGTTGATAAATACAGAGAACAAACTGGTGGTTGCCAGAGGGAAGGGGGTCATGGGATTGAGCCCTGCTTTCAGCTCTGCACTCAGCGGGAAGTCTGCTTCTCTCCTCCCTCTCCTTCTGCTCCTCCCCCGCTTGCGTGCTCTCCTTTTCTCTCTCTCTCAAATAAATAAATAAATAAATCTTTAAAAAGAAGAAATATAGCCAATAAATTGTGATAACCTTGTACGATGACAGGCAGTAACTATACTTATAGTGGTGAGCATCTCATAATGCCTATAAATGTTGAATCACTGTGTAGTACACCTGAAACCAATAATACTAGTTTTATTTTTTTTTAAGATTATTTATGTATTTGAGAGAGAGAGCACAGGGGGAGGGGCAGAGGGAAAGAATCTCAAGCAAACTCTACACTGAGCAAGGAGCCGGCTGGATACGGGGCTGAATCTCACAACCCTGAGATCATGACCTGAGCTGAAATCAAGAGTTGGGCGCTTAACCCACTGAGCCACCCAGGAGCCCCTAATAATACTAGTTTTATAGTCAATATAGTCAACAACGCTTCAATTAAAAAAAAAGAAAAAAGAACATATTGTAGTCCTTGCATAGGAATACATTGCATTGCATTTACTCATTAACTTCATATTTACTGAGTGTCTGTTATGTTCCTAGGTACTGTGTTAGGCTGTGGGTAAGAATGGTAATCAACCCATTTCATGTCCTCAATTAAATTATAAAGAAATAAAGAAGAGAGGCCAAGGAAACATACTGAACCACGTGAGAAATGCTATGATTTGAATAATAAGAAGAGCAAATCACTTCACCTGGTTTTCAGGAGGTTTGGGAAAGTTTTTCAAGGAGATGATATCTTGTATATGAAATTGTGCTATGTACCATGAGAGACTTGTAGATACAACCGAACAATCCCTAGTTTCAAGGTGAGCATGGCTTTGAACAGAAGATAAGAGGCAGGTAAAGAAGGTCCAGACCACCCGGACTTTCTCCACATCAGCAACAGGCCAGTTAGCTTTCTCATCGTCCCGTGTGTTCACTGGGATAGCACTTTTAATTTCCTCCAACAAGTTTTCCTTTGCATTCACAACTTGGCTCACTGGTGCAAGAGGCCTCGGCTTTCAGTCTGTCTCAGCTTTGGACATGCTTTCCTCTCTAAACTTAATCCCTGCCAGGTTTCAATTTAAAGCAATGGATGTGTGATTCTTCCTTTTACCTGAACACTTAGGGGCCATTGTAGGGTTATTAACTGGCCTAATTTCAATACTGTTGTGTCTCCCGGAATAGGGAGGCCCGAGGAGAGGGAGAGAGACGGAGGAACGGCCATCAGTGGGACAATCAGCACACACGCATATCTATCGATTAAGTTCGCCATCTTATATGGGAATGGCTCACAGAGCCCCCAAACAATTACAATAGTAACATCAGAGGCGCCTGGGTGGCTCAGGAGGTTAAGCGTCTGCCTTCGGCTCAGGTCATGATCCCAGGGTTCTGGGATCGAGCCCCGCGTCGGGCTCCCTGCTCAGCGGGGAGCCTGCTTCTCCTTCTGCCTCTCCCCTCTCTCATGCTCTCTTTCCCTCTCACAAATAAATACATAAAAATCTTAAAAAAAAAACAGTAATATCAAAAATCAGTGATCACAGATCACCATAAAAATATAATAATAATGAAAAGCTTCGAAATATTGTGAGCATTGCCCAAATGTGGCACAAAGGAAGTAAGTGTTGGAAAAATGGCTCCAATAGACTTGCTCGACCCAGGGTTCCCACACAACTTCAGTTTGTAAAAAGCACAATGTCTGCAACGCTCAATAAAGTGCAGCGCAATAAAACGAGGTATGCCTGTACTGTTGGTGGCTACACAACACTGTGAATGCCATTAGCGCCACTGAATTGAACAGTTAAAACAGTAATTTAAAAAAAAAAGATTTTATTTATTCATTTGAGAGAGAGAGAACGAGCACGGCATGGTGTGGGGGGACAGGCAGACTGCCGACGTGGGGCTCGATCCCAGGACCTGGAGATCGTCACCTGAGAGCCAAAGACAGACGCTAACCATCTGAGCCACCCAGGCACCCCTAAAACTGTAACTTTCAGCTTACAACACCACAACATGTCATTTAGGCCATTTCACCACAAAAAAAAAAAAAACCACCAAAAAATGAAAAAAGGATCTAGATGGAAAACGAAAATGCCAATTCACATTGCACACTTAAGATCTTTGCGCTTTGCTCAGAAAAAAAAGTAAAGGGAGTAGTAATAAAATCAGGACTGCAGCATGTGGGAAGAGGGCTTACCACACCTCTGAGAGGAAGAGGAAGTCTCCGTGAGAACCAATCTCCATCTATGACAGAGCAGAGAAGAGCAGATGCCAGGCACCGGGAGGCCACCAGCACCAGCCTCTGCCGCTGACAGCATGCCCTGGTTGCTTCTGCCCCTCACGCTTGTCTTCTCCTTCAGCCCAGGTAAACGCTGCAGCACACTCAGGTAGCCGCTCGCTGACGCCCTGGGTTTGTGCCGCTTGCTCGATCTGAGGCACTTGCGCGTATCGTCTGTCTGTCTCTCTGCCATGGGACAGGGTGGGGGATGGGGCTCTCAGTTGTGCCTGAGAAACTGCCCCCTCCTCTCAATTTAGCACATGAGGTGCACTCGCTCCTTCAGAGGTCACGGTTTCACCTGTGTCTGCCTTTGAGGGTAGTCTCTGCGGGGCACGGGAGGTGAGCTTCTTCTAAGACCAGATTACTTGGGCTTTTTACAACTAGCGTGCTGTGGTATGAAGAGTACTGAGATTGGGAGAGTGGGTTCTCTTCCCAAAGTAGCTCCTGTCTTGCTCTGGATCCTCAGGTAGGTTACTGATTCTGCCTGAACCTCACTATCCTCATCGAAAAGATTGAAGATCTATGGCTCAGTGTAGCCACAATTTCTGGGCACAGTGAACACTAGAATAGTCCTATTAGTTTTTGCTTACTGTAAAAAAAGACATCTCCCATCCTCTCATGCAAATCAGGGTCTAGGCAGTCCAGCAGGACTTTAGGTGCCACAGAGAAAGGAACGGTTCCCCCTGTCTGTTATACGTGGAAAACATGAAGGTATTCTGTTCCGGGCCCTGGGCTAAGTGCTGCACACGCGTTATATACATAAGCCTCAGGACTGGACTGTGAGCTTGTACTATATTGACCCCATTTTAAAATGAGGAGCCAAGATGATTTAAAGAACTTGCCCAGGGGCGCCTGGGTGGCTCAGTTGTTAAGCGTCTGCCTTCGACTCAGGTCATGGTCCCAGGGTCCTGGGATGGAGCCCTGCATCCGGCTCCCTGCTCCGCGGGGAGCCTGCTTCTCCCTCTCCCACTCCCCCTGCTTGTGTTCCTTCTCTCGCTGTGTCTCTCTCTGTCAAATAAATAAATAAAATCTTTAAAAAAAGAAAGAAAGAACTTGCCCAAATTTCATTAGCCAGCAGGTGGCAAGCTCTTGTGACAGTTCTAACAGTTCTGAGAAACAGTGACAACTGACCAAGCACAGCCCGAGCACAAGAGAAAAGACAGAAGTGAGAGAGTCACCACAGATGCAGAATTAACTAGATTGACCGGCAGCAGGAGTAAGGGGAAAGGCTGGTTTTCTACTTTCTGGGGACGTATTGTGATCAAAGCAGGCAAAAACCCCCGTCCTTACCGAGTTCATTTGAGCAGGGGAAACAAGATGAATAAGTGAAATGGCATATTGCACAGAGATCAATGATAACTAAGTCAAGCAAGGAGGGAGGGTATGAAGTACGGCAGAAGGGGCAGGGAAATCTCAGACAGAGTAGCCAAAGGTGGTGAAGTTGGGTGACAAAGGGGAGGGGAGGAGGGAGCAGCCATGGAGAAGGTGAGTTCAGCCTGGGACCTACTGACTTTAAGACGGCAGTGTGATATCCATGAGAAGATTTCCGGAGAGCAGCTGGGAATTGAGAACTAGCGGCTGGAGGCTTGGGAGTCATGGCACGGAACTAATAAACAAAGCTAAGGAGAAAGTGCAAGGAGGACAGAACCCTGGGCAGTGTGGGTAAGATGCAGAAAGAATTTGTTCATATATTCGAGAGCCACTCCCTGGCCTGGTGGCAAAGCCCTGCATCTTTGCCTCACTTTTACCTCCTTGCAAAACTGAATCCACCCTAAAATGAAATATTCTGAGTGTGCTCAGGTTAAAATTCCCCTGCTCCTCCCCATTTCCATCAATACCTCTCGTAAAGACCCTATGAAATAGATACTGTCCTTATTCCTACTTCAGGGAAGAGGAAAGCAAGCACACGACACTTAAGTAGCGTGTTTGTGTCACACAATTATGGGTTGGGGTGGCACCGTAAAAAGAAACACAGGGGAATGCATTTGCAGGTGTTCTGAAGCCCAGGAGAGGAGCAATGATTGCCAAGGATGGACATCAGGGAGCCTGGCTCCAGAGTCTGTGCTCATAATCACCTCGCTATGCTACTTAGTTTACACATAGCTATGTATTCACATGAATGTATATATAATTACAAAATGTGACACCAGGAAGAAAATCAGCAAGGTACCATGAAACAGAAAAACCAAAGGATCTGCTTTGCTTGGGGTCAGAAGTTCGAGGAAGGGAAAGAAATCTGCTGCAGCAAGGATCGGGCACAAATCAAGTCAATTTTGAAAACAAGCATGAAGGAAGATGACTCATGCTATCCAAACTTCTTTCCAGTTGGTCAGACACTGTGACTTGGTATTTTTTTAAAAAGCTGAAAAGATAAACCATATTGAGAAATAATTCCCCTAGGTATAACTGGAATCGGGCGTCATCATGCTCTGGAGAAAATGAATTTCATTAGTTTCTCTGTTTTATTCTTTCTAGATGGAAACATCAAACATTGACATGCATACAAATTACTAGGGAATCTTATAATACTGATTCTGAATGCAGGCAAACCTTCTGCATTCATAATAAGCTCCCTGGTAACCCCAATGTTGCTCCATGGACCACACCTTGAGTAGCAAGGATCTAGATTTCACGGGATTTTAGTCATATTGGGGTTGAAGGGAGGGAGAAATAAGGACTAATTCTTTGCGTATGTTTGCCAGAAGCAGATACGGGTATTCTAATGTTCAGGAGAGAAGTGGTTGCAAGCATAGGCCAAGCCAATACATGTGAGTTAGTCATATGATTGTGAGGTTCTGAGTCAAAACTTTTCTGCTAAGAGATTGTATCCAATGGCTCCCTTCCTCTGAGCAGTGTTAGCTACTTCTCTTACCAACCATCCACACCTTCCAATGTTTATTGTTGCTCTTTATTGTTGCTCACCACGGGCAAGGATTTGTTTTGCATTTGACATTATGGACATCAAAGACAACTGTACTTTACCACCTCTCAGAGTCCGTGGTCTGCCCCAGGTGACCTCCAGCCTCCCATGCCTCTCAGCTTCCAGCCTCCCAATCCCCATCTAGCCTCAGCTGGGTCTCCATCTACAGGCAGATTTTCTTTCTTTCTTCCATTAAGGTAAAATTCACAAAACATAAAATAATAATTTAAAGTATGTAATTCAGTAGCATTTAGTACATTCACAATGTTGTGCAACCACCACTTTTATCATTCCAAAACATTTTATCACCCCAAAAGAAGACTCTATGTCCATTAAGCAGTAATTTCCCATTTGCCCCTCTCCCCAAACCCTGCTCACCCCCCAGCAAATACCAACTAGCTTTTTGTTTCTGTGGGTTCACCTATTCTGGACATTTCATATCAATGAAATGGTATGATGTGTGACCTTTGTGTCTGACTTCTTTCACTTAGCATAATGGTTTTGAGGTTCCTTCAAATTGTATCATGTATCAGCACTTCATTTCTTCTTATTGTTCAATAATACTCCATTGTATGTATGTACCACATTTTATTTATCCACTCATCTATATAGATGAACACTTGGCTTGTTTCTACCTTTTGGCTCTTGTAAATGGTGCTGTGATGAAGATTTGTGTGCAAGTATTTGCTTGAGTACCTGTTTTCAATTCTGATCCAATTCTGGATCATACGATAATTCTCAGATTAATCTATTTATTAATCGGAGTTTACACTCCGACCAGCAATGTATGAAGGTCTTAATTTCTCCAGCACTTATTTTCTTAATAATTATTTATCTTATTAATTCTTACCAGCACTTTCTGATGATGATGATGATGATGATGATGATGATGATGATGATCACTCTCCTGGAGTTGGTATTCAAAGGTTTCTTTTCCTGTTCCAGCAATTCATTAGTTAGTTTCTAAAAGATAAAATTCATAGGCAGAAGCTTCTAGGAATTTCCTGAGTCTAGGACGTCTCACTGGTGACAAAATCCCTTCTCTAGTTTTATTCTGCTTCTCATTCTTGAGGGGGCATGGGACAATGGATCATATTCTGTAGCTACTTCCTGCTGGATGTTGGCATTGTCGTGGGGATCAGCAGAGGTGCAGAACCTCTTTCTAACTAGTCTGAGATATGTGGGTCACCGGGCCCAGCTCTGAGCTGTTCATACCCTTGTGTTACCACCATCTGTAATTGTATGGCCTCTGTATGCTTGGTCACAAACTGTACCAAACAGGTAAGTATGCAGGTCCAAAAAGTAATGAGTCGCGGGATTATTAGTGGCCGCAAGAAAGAGAGGAAATTTATGATACTGGGTCGTGCCATTTGACAGTCGGCCAGACTTAATCAGGAGATCCTCCTCTGGTTGAAGGTACGCAGTCAAGCCTCCTGATCAAAGAGTTTTTTAATATCCACTTCCACTTCATCTGAGGTATTATTACCCCAGGTACAACATGACGTATTAGTTACTACACAGATTCCCCCCTCCTTCTGCTAACAAGTAGTCCAGAGCTGGTCTATTATCTCACACTACATTAGCTAAGGAGTCAAGGACAATTTTTAATTTCTTGAGGGCACTGCCTGTATTTCTAGCGAATGTTTCTATTGTGCCAATTCCTGACGGGTGGCTTCATGATATAAAACCTCCCCAAGGGGCGGTTAATGTGATGGCCAATCCAAAGCTGGCCAGAATCAGTCCCAGGGCTCTCTTTCCCCGATGGGAAGATTGAGTAGGATTATGTAAGGTCATCCTCACAGGACTCATGAAGCATACAATACATTGCCCAGTGAGCTGGACATCGTCAATGGACACGTGAGCAACAGCAAGAAGCAGGGAGATAAAAATCCCAGCTGGAGATGAGTCCCTTGGGAGCCTATGGTGGGATGATCCACAAATAAAAGCATATCCTGGGGTATGCAGGCTCAGTGAGCCTGCACTGAGTTAAACCAGTTAAGCAATTTGGGACCCCAGCTCGGGGATGCCATTGCATTCAGGAGACAATGGTCTGCTCCACAAGACTGTGTAATTGATTGGACCCGTGGCTGCCTTTCCAGGGGCCTGATTATATAAATAGGGACATCTGATTATATAAATAAGTACATCTCCAGCACCCCTTAGGTTTGGTCAGTCTTGTCCTTGCCTTA